ATTACTTTTTTAGCTCTTTTATCATGGTGTAGTACATATTTCCGGGTTACAGTCAAAACTGGCTCAATGTGAGTATGATAAAAAACCTTCAGAAGCATATGTACAATAGGAAGAGCACAAAACCTACAGTCAGAAAGTGTGGAACTCAGTTCTTATGCAATATTGATAACTTCTCAGCTGTGTGACCTTGTTCAGGCTGCTAAGCCTCTTTGAGCCTCATCTATAATGTTGAAATGGTGGTGATAGTTTTGTTCCACTTCCCCCACAAGGCCGCTCTGAAGATGAAGTAAAATGATATATATGAAAGCAATTTATTTTAATAACACTAAAGAGAGCATCACAACATTTTCTAGTTTTAACCAGTTAAGACAACCATTTACTGAACTCTCTATTTGGTTAATGGATAACAGCACTTATGAGCTGGTAAAGAAAACAATGCACTGTACCTGATCTCTTGTTCTTCTCTTGTTAGACCTGATCCGAATTTTAGATGTATCTTGGCAGAAGTGAGACAGTCTTCCAAACAGCTAAAATAATAATAACAAGAAGAACAACCTTAGCAATAATATTTTTGAGATAACCATTATCTAGCTTGTTTGCAATTGCTGAAACAACTTACCCAATTTTTTGGAACTGCCCTTCTAAGTTGTCCCAAACATATCTTATTTTCTGCACCTTTATGCATCTCACCTGCAAAAAAAAAAGAGTACTAAGTTTTAGGATCTGAGAATATACAACAACATCATGGTTAAAGAAACATTTGTGGAAGAAGCAAAAAATAGTGCACAGATACACAGATATACTGACTTGAGGGCTTATCCTTTCCTATCCTATTCTTTCCTACTGAACAAATGGCATTCTTTATTAGAAATCATCATTCAATTAACATTTATCATGGGTCTACTATAGAAATAAAATTATAAATAAAACCCAGTCCCTGCATTCCACTACTTTACCATCTAAGAAAACAAAAAGAAAAAAGAAAAAAAACAAACCCATTGCTGTTGAGTCGATTCTGACTCATAGTAACCCCATAGAACAGAGTAGAACTGCCCCATAGGGTTTCCAAGGAGCGGCTGGTGGATTCAAACTGCCAACCTTTTGATTAGCAACCGAGCTCTTAACCACTGTGCCACAAGGGCTTCAACATCTAAGAAGAAAAAAAAAATTCAGAAAAAAAATGCTATATAGTATACACTATGTATCAAAGAAATGTTGGCACAATGGCTAACTGCTTGGCTGCTAACCGAAAGGTCAGTGGTTCCAACCCACCCAGTAGCTCCAAGGGACAAAAGACCTGGTGATCTGCTCTTGTAAAGATTATAGCCTAGGAAACCCTATGGGGCAGTTCTACCCTATCATATAGGGTCACTATGAGTCAGAATCGACTTGACGTCACACAACGACAACAAAATGCTGTAGAAATATAGAAAAGGCAGAAGACAGAAGGCATTGTGGGAGAGATGACATCTGAGCTGCAGCCTTGAAGAACTGGAAGACTTTTGTTCAGATGAGAAAGGAAGAAGGCATTTCAAAGAGAATATACACAAGTGATTTGGGGGCCAGTAAGTAAACTTACTTGGCTGCAGAATGAGGAATGAGAGAAGAAAGATTAATTAGGATGACACTATGAGCAATCTTGAAGGCTGATATAAGATATTTGAGACTTTATCCCATGGGCAATGGACTAGTGGAGCAACCTATCAAGGAGATATGGAAGAAGATTAGGTTGGCAGCAGGTACTGGAGGAGAGAGGAGAGGTTATTCCAAGAAAATTCATTCCAGACAATGAGGGTCTAAGGATGTCAACAGTGGAAAGGAAAGGAAGGGCTCATGCTTATGACAATCGTGCCTTCTTGCTTCTAGTTTCTTTACCCAACTTTATATACCAATATGAATTTCCACTAACTGGTGACCTAACCAACCACAAAGAGAAATCTTGAGGCTGCCATATTGCTAAGGAGCAATGGTTATTATTGCCCATTGGAATCATCTGGGAAGTGGTAAAAAATACAGATGCCTGGGTCTTGCCCCCAAGAGATTCTGATTGAATTTTCTGGGGTGCAGTCTGGGTATAAGTATCTTATACATTTCTCCAGAGAATTCTAATGTGCAGCCAAAGCTGAGGAATACTGTTCAAGACTTCGTTTCATAGCTACTCTGATCCTTGCATCCTTGAGAAATTCATTTCAGTTTCTCTGTACCTCAGTTTCCCCACGTGCAAATTGAGGCAACTGAACCATATTATTTCTAAATTTCACTTCAGCTCTTCTAAATACGCTTTTTGCCTGTAAATATTATAGTCAGTATAACCACTTGATAAATTCTAAATCTAGAAGAGTGTATAACTGGCGCATAGTAAGTGCTCAATACTTTTTTTTAATTAAATGAATGAATGCTTCGTAAAATCACAAGTCAACTAGAAACACATCTTAAACCCCAAAGCTCCAAGGCTTGGATTACCTCAAGTAAATCTTAACCCTTCTCAATCAGTATATGTATGTATACACACACATACACATTTCTAGTTACCAAGTTAAAGTGTTCAATGCCACATTTTTTTATTTTACAGAATGGATTTACTTCAATGAGATTGGCTGCAAAATAATTTTTATTAAATAAATCCTATTTTCTCATTGAGTTTCCATATAAAATTGGACTGCATTGCCCCCTGGGAATGATCCTCCCTTCACAAGCTGCAAGCTAGAGGTAAGGAAAGTGTTGGAAAGTGGCCAGCCCTGGGGTGTGTTAGCCATCTTGGCACATCTTGGGACCTGAAGTTTCTTACCCCACAAATCACTTTCCTTGTCAGTATTACCCGAAAATTAGCAAATAGAGTGAACTGGGATCACAGCTAATGTTTATTGAGCACTTTGGGGCTTCTCACACAGTGTCTTTAGGCTTTTTAATCATTCTATAGTAGGGCAGATATTATTTTCATCTTCACTTTGCACTGACATTAATTTGATTAAGCAACTTGCCCAGGATCACACCTATTAAGAAATAAGGCTGGAATTTGAACCCAAGCCCATCTGACTCCAAAGTCCACAGTCTCTCAAAAGATATAATATTCAAGCCATCTCCAAAGATGGTCTGAAAATCCCTTAACTTTGAGGACTGAAATAGGAAGTGAAGGTGGCCTACTTGATTAATTCCATAAATTCAAAAATCTGTGTTCCAAAAAATTTTTAAGGACAAACTGTCGTAGAATGTGAGGCCCCTGCTCCATCAGAGAACTTAGATCAAGAACCTGTGAAACAACAAAATAGACACAAAACATCAGCAATGAAGGCAGCAAGAAGAGGAACAAAGAGATTACTGATAAATCGTATCTCAGACCAGGAAAGGGAAAATCCCACTATCTCCTGACAATTTCTGAGGCCATTCCTTAGCACAGCGAGAAGAATGACTCCATCATAGACTTTTAAGCATCTTTGAGATGCTGCAGCAGGAAACATACTCTGTATGGAGTTTGTCTGTTTCCCTTGTCACCTTCCAAGACCCTATAGGACAGGGTAGAACTGCCCCATAGGATTTCCAAGGAGGGGCAGGTGGATTTAAACTGCTGACCTTTTGGTTAGCAGCCGAGTTCTTAACCACTGTGCTACCAGGGCTCTGATAAGAGGATATTAGGGGTGATATATGCAAGGGGTGGAGTTTATTTGCCCCAGTTTCCTGGAACTTAGTACTAGGAAATAATAATTAAGAAATCAGGAATCTGCTGTGGGATGAATTTCATCTTTCTACTGCAAATCAGGAAGCTTCCTCCATCCGCTGTCTTGCGTCTTTTCCTTTCTTGTCGGAACATGTTGCAAGAGCATCCTGTTGAACAGGTTAAGCAGTGGGTTTCAGCTTTGGATGCAATTCATTCTACAAGATGGTGCTTAGAGTCTCCTATTAGCCTGCATTTGCAAACCTGATACAGTCCTTTGCAGCAGTCTCCAAACTCCCCCTAAATGGCACTGAATAGTTATTATCTTGGTAGTATTGCTATTGTTATTGTCATCAGCGGCTGAGCCCAGAACACCTCCCCCAAACTCTACTGCAAAGTGTTGGCCCTTTATATGACTATAGCTCATTACAGTTCCCAAATTACCTTCATATTCATCCTCCCATTTTAGGTTCTCAATAGCCCTGAGAAGCAGGGGTTCTTCGTCTCTTTTCATAAACAAGAAACCCGAGGCTCGGAGAGGCAGTAACGAGCCAAAACTCCCTATTTCATAAGTTGGAAAATGAAGCCATCAAGACTGTGTTCCAGATCTTTCCATTTCAAGACCCCTGCCCCTTCCTCACATACTGTTTATTTGATTATTTCTTCACTTGTATGTTTGTCCACTTATTTGTTTGATGCCATTCGATCTCTAACGGCCTTTCTGCGCAATAGTGACTGAGGCCGTGTTCATAGGCTGCTTTGGGACACCCACTTCTCGAGGTGAATGGCCACCTAAAAGATTAGGCAAGCTAATAGTCTGAGGTGGTTGACCTCATTGGTCTCTGGTTATTTTGGCAGTTAAGAAAACTGGGTGGTAACAATTGAGGAAATACCCAACAATTGACTTTCATTGGTTAAAAAAAAAAAAAATTGATCTGGAGCTTATAAAAATCAATTTAAACGGCTATCTACACATACATAAATGCAAGAAAAAACATTCTGTTTTGTGTTTTTAGTATGTAAATGCTAACTAGTCATAATTCAAGTAGTATTAATTTAATATGACAAGAAGGGAGTAACCCAAATATTGAATTATGGAATATGAACCATAGAATTCAAAATAAGCTCATTTGGGGGACATAAGCAAGCTCTCTGGCATATTCCCAGATGATTACTTTTACTGTAAGATTAACCCTGTTACACAGATTATAACACAGGGCAGGACGCTATTAAGAGTTAATATGTACTGAGCATCTACTACTTGCCTGGCACTATAGTCCTTAATTGATTTAATTTTTTCAGTTAATATTAGAGGTAGATATTCTTATCATCATTTTATAGGTGAGAAAACTGAAGCTCAGCAGTGTTAAGTAATTGATCCAAGGTTGCACAGTATAGAAGGATGAACCTATGATTTGAGCTGAGCTCTGTCTGGCTCCAAAGCTCATACTCCTTATAACAGTCTACGCTGTTAATTGAGGATTAGCACAGTAGAAGACTTGAATTTAACCTTATATTTGAGGGGGGAAATGATTAAATTTCTCTGGCATCATCAGCGACCTAACTTTACTTACCTTTAGGTCTGGCTTTCTTATGGCTCTATTTATGATGTCCTCCTCATCTGTAATGAAAGGGTGGTCTGGAGTGAGACCAAATGCGCTGTTTAATGCTGACAGGTAGATCCACATTACCTTTTTCCAAGAGTAAGTTTGGAATTCATCCTGAAGAAATAAACACCAAAACCCCCGTGAAGTTACCAGAAGCCATCAGGTTAGCAGCCTGAAAGACATCATCTTAAAATAATTCTGCAAGTTTACGGAGTTAGTGAACATTCTAGACAGAACTATATGCCTTTGAGAGTTGGTAGACATAGAGCCTTGAAAGAAAAAGGATTGTCATCATTTGCTGAGGAATCTGGACGTGACTATGAGACCCTGATACATATAACAAAGCTTGAGAGAGGAGAGGCACTTTCTCAGATAAGGACCCGTTTTCCCCATTACCCTCCAGCCAGATACAAAATTTCACAGGGGAAAGAAAAAAAAAAAAATCTTTCAAGGGTTTCCGTGGGTCTCTGAAGGTCAGGAAACCAAGTCAATTAAACCATCCACAACTTTCGAGGCTTAATTTAAATTCCACCTGCTCCATAATAGCCCCTTTAACACTTTCCAATCAGGGGAAAAAAAAAAACCAGAAAACTGTCACTTTGCAACCAGAAAAGATCTTACCTATCCCTCTCTTATGCCCTAATCACTTTCTACTTTGTATTCTCTTAGTTCTTCTAGACTCTCTGGAAGGCAGGGGCCATGTTTTAATGTTCCTGACGTTTCAATCCAAGTGGGGCACTGTGACCTGCTTGGTGAGGGCCTGATGAACGGATGAAAAAAAGACTACATGCAGGAACTCAGCTTGCCAAAAGGTAACTGTCAAGGTGTTAGCACAGGCAGGAGTGAAGAAGGTTATCTTCTTCCATGACCATAATTGAAACGGCTCCACTTTGCAGCTGACTGGTGATTTCATCCCAGAATAGAATGGAGGGAGCAGTACTGGAATGAGTAACAGGTACCACAACAGTCCCTTAGAAACTGATGTGATAATAGCAGTCGTTATTATCTAAATGGGGACATGCTACACATAAAACCCACCTAGATGCCCGAAAAACCTCAGGAGCTAAGAAATACGGCAAGAGAAGTTAAGCCAAGCAAGTAATTTGATGATTGGGGAATGTAGCTGGGAACTGTCTTCACTACGTCCACTTTTTCCTTGAAGAGCTAATTAGGCAGAGAGGAGAAGATGTAATATTCACTGTATCTCTTACACTGATTCTCCTCAAGAGAAGCCCAACTCCGTGCCTGAACTCCTGCTGTCTCCTTAGCCTGTAATTACTACCCATTTCTCTCTTCTCTACATCCTCACATGGCTAATTCCTAGCCATCCTTCAGCGTCCAGCCCAAAGACCACATCCTGCAGCTCCCCTTAATTTCTCTGGGTGACCATTTTCTCCCATAAACAAATCAGGGTACTGAAGATTCTTACCACATTCTATCTCACTGCATTGCCCTTTGCCTGTCCACCTTATCACTTCCTCTTGGACTGTGGGTAGGGAACATGTCTGATTCATATCTGCACTTCCGCCAGGCCTAGCACAGATTCTGAAAGAAAGAGTAGGAGGGAGAGGGACAGGGAGAGGGAGAAGGAGAGGGACAGGGAGAGGGTGAAGGAGAAGGAGCAGAAGAAAGGACTTGAAAGGAAGAAACGGGAAAGCAAGAGAAGGGAAGAGAAGAAGAAAAAGCTGAATAGAAGTTCGAAAGTTAATGAATTAATTTTTAAAATCAGTGCAACTGGCTATTAACCTCATAAAAACAAGATGGCTAAATCAAATTAAAAATTTGCAAGAAGTTACCTTCAAAGCCTAAGAATGAGCTAAGATGGCTAGATTTCCAACAGCTGAGCCACTTAACTGGTGGATATGTTTTAGGCATGGTGGAATGGGCAACCAATTTCCTAGGACACACTTTGACATAGCTCTGCGACGTAGGGGTTCTGTTGTCAAAACAACTTTGAGCTATTAATAGCTACACCAGTAATAACTAGCATGTATTGAGTACCTACTATGTTCTAAAGGAGCCCTGGTTGCACAGTGGTTAAGACACTCAACTGCTGACTGAAAGGTCGGAGGTTTGAAGCCACCAGGGCTCCACGGAGAAAGATGCGACAGTCTTCTTCCCTAGAGATTTACAGCCTTGGAAACCCTGTGGGGTCACTAGGTTCTAATCACATAGTACTAGGTATGCTGTATCCATATTTTGCTGGAAAATGCTGCCATTTTTATATCCATCCTGAACGGGGACTGCCAAAGCAAAATTTCAATGACAAATTTGGTAAGAAAAACACATAGTTTGTAGGTAAATAGGAAGACAGACTATAAAAGAGCCATCAAGACCAGAGACCTCTTGCCACCAATTGAAGACAATTAGGAAGACAGCTAACTGGTCCCCTTGGTCCTCTTAAGTAAACTAAAATAATATGAATTACTCCATTTCGTATCATTACTTTGCAGTTTATAAACACTTTTTGTATCAGTTACTTTATCTTTGGCTCACAATTCACCAAAGTTGGTATCATCATCTGCATTTTTCAGATGAGAAGCTCACAATCAGTAAGAGAAAGAATTGTTCAAACCAGTCTGGTTTGGGTAGTAAGAGGTAGAACTGACCCCAGGACCCAGGACTTCCCACTCCAAATCTTGGTCCCTCTTTGTTTATTCCAACAAATTGCCCCGTGGTGTCTGTGGCGTCTGTGTGGAAATCACCTTGAATTCTGCAGTATATAACAAAAAACAACTAGTTTCTCATGATCTCTGCCTTTTGGCAGCAGGGAATATGCTTCCCCAAATCGAGCTGTCACCCTCTGGCCCTGTGTGACAGGAAATAGACCTCTAGACTGTGATGTTTACAAAGGGAGAGACAACATGGGACATTGGAACTCCTGGGTTCTCAAACACAGTGTTAATCCAATGCACCACCTACATGTCTTTGTCTTGATGAGTATTAGAGCCTAAAATTCACCTGTATGCCTCGATCTTATTTTAATCTGTATCATCACTAAATTGAAGGTGTCTACGTATATGTGCCTTTAAGCTCATTTCCTGCCATCTCCTTTATCCCCACGTCTTTTAACTCATTATTCTGCATAACACAAAGTAGAATCTATAGGCAAGAGAAAGACACCCCCATGAGAGAATCATTTTTCATAGAGTAATGCCGTGCTGCTGACTTGTCACTTGTTTATTATCCTGTTAAGAACCCTGTAAAAAATCTCCTTTATTTTTAAAGAAAATCACCCAATTTTTAAAGCCAGGGGAAAAAAAAAAAAAGCCCGCAAGGAAAGGGAGACAAAATATGCCAAAATGCCAAAGCGAAGGGGTCATTTCGGGCAGCAGCATCAAACTTCTGTCAGTTTTCGATTTGGTGTTGTCCAATAATGGAAACAGCACAGGCTTGAGGCCTCAAATCCCAGCTCCAAACAATCTTAAAAACCATTTCAACTCCTCGTGCATAATTTTATTTATCTATCAAGTGGGAATAATAACACCACATCTTATGGATTCTTGAAGGACTAATGCAATAATATATAATGCACGCGGTCCAAGGTCTGGCTCATAGCAGGCATGCAACAAATGCTGGTTTGTGTACAGCTCTGTGTCTCGTTTTTCACAGTATGTTGTTCCTGAGATCTTTCTGTAAATCGGAACTCATCTGCCTTTTGAGGAAACTTCAGAATCTCTGAGCGTCTCTATATTTATTTCCCTTTCTGGAAAAGAAGCTTTTTTAACTAGAAATGGCTTCTTCCACTGAAATTTGTTTCCCAGCTCCCTTTCAAGCAGTTAATGATCTGTAAAATACTTAAACGCAGCAGAGGATCGGCCGTTTTAAACAATTGGTTCGTAATGCAAATAATCCAAGATGTTTGCTTGGCAAATCTCTAGATTTTTTACGCCTCAAGTTTCATAGAGCAGGCTTCGCCAGCTCTTCATCAAGAGAGTTAACCAAATCAGTCCTTGAATTCTAAAAGAGTAAGATTTAAATAATTCAGGATGCATTTCAAAGAGATGAATGTACACCAAGGACCTGTGTTGGACTTGGCCAGAAAAACAGAGGAAGAAATTTGGGTGATTTTTTTATTGCCTGTGGTCTTGCACTTTCTGAACCTGGAAAAGTCAGACCAGCTTTTGTATTTAAATGAAGCAAGTGGTCTTTGCTTGTCTTATTCTAACCTTTTGCTATAAACACCTTGGAATGTAAGGCAGTGTAATAGTCACTTCAAGTTCAGAGAAATGCCATAACTTCGCCTCTTGTATAAGAGCTTCACTACACACAAAAACATGTGCTTCTGAGCTTGCCTTCAGGAGAAAAAAGTAACCCGTTGCAAAGTTCCAAAGAGACATTAAGAAGTCAGTACTTTGTACTTGGAGACGGATACGTTGCAATGCTAAAAGCTTCGTCTCCAGCTAAGGTGAAGTACTTACAGGATTATGGGGAAAGTAATAATAACTTGTATTTTTCAGGCTCTTTATAAAACACTGTACTATCTTTATAGATCCAAACTCTTAAAAACCATTTCCAAATACTTTGCCAAAAAAACTATTCTTTCCATATTTAAGCGTCTTTTTTTTTTTATTTTTCTTTTCTCTTTCTCCCTCTGAGCCAGACCCACTGATGCTCTTGACACCCTTACCCCATATTTCCATGATGCTTAGCTGGAAAAAATTGGCATTACCTATGATTTAGTTATAAGATATATAGAGAAAGTTCTAGGCTTTGGAGAAATCGCACACTGTTTATTTTCTCAGGGTTCCCAGAACATGTTGTCTGTTGACCAAAAAAAAAAAAAAAAAAAAAGCCAAAGCAATAAAGTTATATGATGTAGGCTATGTCTTCACTTGTATACCAAAAAAAAAAAAAAAAGGACTCAGCAGCAACTTTAAAAGTTAGATGAGAAACTTAGGTGAGTTTAAGTCAATGGTGGTGAAACAGTTTGGAAAAGGATGGCAAGAATGTTTGCATAACTTAAAGAATGTAATCAACGCCACTGAGTTGTACATGTAGAAATCGTTGACATTGTGTATAACTGTGTATATTCTCACCAAAATTAAAAATAAATACCTAAAGATCTCAGCACGCATTTGGGGGAAGATTGCTTTTTTTAGGGGGGTTGTCAT